TTTCCACCAACATTGGTAGCACCAGACCCACCGCCAACATCATCAGGACAAAAAATAGCATTTTCATCTTCACTACATGTACTGCCTTCTTCCAAATTACTTTTAAATGAATGAAACATCAAACTGTGCTACTCATATAACTTTAACATTTGAGTTTTTGCTGCACTATGAAAAACTCCTTTTTCTAAAATGTGTGCAAAAAAGGGCACATTTCGTTTTGTCATTCGAAAGTTAATTGCAGCAATAGGAAGATCATATATAGATCTTTTGTTTTGACATTTCATTGATATCAGTAGGGAAAAACTTCTGCGCTATATCAGAGGACGTTAACATTTGTAGGAGACGCATAACCCAATTTGAAAATCTGTTAATTCTTCGTTTTTTAGCTTTTCTTCTGTTTTCTTTTTTACTCCTAGTCTTTTTTCTAGGGGCACCAGACACCATTCCACGGAAATTGTCTTCCAACTTTGAAAGTGTTTTTTTTCAAGTTCAGTAATAAACATTTCTGCATTCTTGTCGATCTCTTGAAGGACTGAAATACAATCATCAATATTATTGCTTTTGCTCAGTTGCCCATGGTTTCAAGTGCCTGCTATCTTTTAATTTAACTCATTTATGCTACTCCCTTCTCACAAAGCTTTATGTGAAGTGCTTTTCCAGTGATCTGCATATTAATAAAACCATAAGCATCATCATTGTGCGACATCATGAACTTAAGTCTGGCAGTCCATCTATCCACTGCTACTCTAATGGTATATCGCTGTTTCCTTTCTTTAAACAGTATTCTTAAAACTTGCTTTGAAGATGTGAATATGCAGCAGTATACATTTTTGGAATATAGAATTATCAGATATAGAGGGGGGTTACAATTTTCTTTATTTTTTCTAAAGAGTAATAAAACAACATACTATTAGGTCTAGTTAAACTTACAGACATGAGGTTTACTCCACTGTAACACGAACAAGCATATAGAGCAAAAGTATCTGGATATATGGCCACTAGAGGGCGCTATAGGTATTATCATATATTGGTTATCTCTACACCTCCCTTTAAAGTACCGAAGGGCTGAACTGAAACTAATGTCTTGTATCAAGTGTTCTCACTATTGTTCGTAACAAGTCCACGAATGTTTCTCTGAACACAACATAATGTAATTCATTAACTCTGCAATATATCAACTAACACCTAATCTAATAATATTCACTAATAATGAACTGCTATACTAATTTCAATGTCTGCTTTGGTGACATTACTATAAATTCAAACAATACTGGCATTTTCACAATTTTTCCAGAAATTGTTTTTACAACACCATTACCAGGTTTGCTTGAATGGTCATTTGCGATGATAGATTGGGTGTTTGTCTGTTGATCAGTAGAAACTGGTGTGTATTTCACCGGAGAACATCGCGCTTTAGATTTTGGAGATTCTGGCTCATTAGTAGTGTGAAGTAGTGCTCTCCTATTGTGTCTAACAATGCCTTGATTAGATTTGACAAGGTCAGATTGTGGATGTTCAGTGGTCTTGATCTCGAATCTATACTTTGTCACCGGGGTGAAGTATGGGAAGTTCACACGCTTGATGTCGCTGGTTGAACTTAATTTGTTGATTAGATCGATAGATGTCTTCACTCTCTTTCACTTTCTCAAGATCTTCATTGCGAAGTCGTGCTTGTAGAGTATTTGAGAGAATGGGTAGATGTGTGTGTATTAGTCTTCCCATCAGTAGCTGACTTGGCGCAATATTATTTTGTAGTGGTGTGGTTCTGTAAGAGAGAAAAGCGAGGTTTGGATCTTCGTTTTTCTTGAGCAGATCTTTGACAGTTTGTACTGCTCTTTCAGCTTCACCATTGGATCGTGGATATCTGGGTG